AGCAGAACGAGTCAGGCTGACGTGTTATCAATTTTTTGAAAAGTGGGGTGAAGTGGTGTGGAACACATCAGAGGGGTGAAGCCGAGCAAATCGGAAAGAGAGCAGAGCATGTCATCGCCTCGCCCGCGTGCGCGCTGCCCTCCCTGCTCTGGAGCGAGCAGAGGCCGAATGGATGCTGCGCCTTTCCGGTGTCTCGCACCCTTCATGTTGCGCTGATATTGATGCAGTTGAAGGAAGAAGCAGCTGCCGAGGCAGTTACTGTGCGCTGTGCAATCGTTGGTTTCCCCGCGGCCTTACAGTTGCAAGGGGTGCCAGTGTTTGCGGGGACACGTGCCAGCCACTGAGTGACACAAAATGACCAGTGTTGGATTGCGTGTATAATTTGCTAGCTCATTTCTGGGTTGCTTTATCATATTTCACATGTTTTTCATATACACTGTTGCTGCTCTTGCTAGTCCATAAGAACATTTTAGGGATTCCAAGAAGTATCCATCAGGTCTGGATAGGAAAAAACAATTGTGGGTGAAAAACCTTTTAGTTGACTCTTAATACCCACAAGGTGTTAAAAGTTGAACTCGCTGTCCTGCAGTCAATTTTGACTCCCGGGGCCCTGTAAGACAAACAAGAGTCAATATACCAGGCCAGTCCTGGGGGCTGGCGGGCCTGTCTGTCTGGAGGAAGTAACGGTAAATTAGGGCTTTCTTAGCATCTGTGTGTCTGTGCAAAATGACTCAACATTGTCTCATGCAAAATAAATTGACATTTGAAACAAAAAAATTTTAACTTGTTTTCCATTTGAACTGAATTATGTACAGCTAATCATCATGTTTGGATGCCTTTCAGAGACAGATGGCACCGTATTCAGAATTCACACCCAAACAGAAGGACCGATGGCTATGGATACACCCTTAGAACTGGTGTTTCATTTACCTGTCACTTACCCTCTGTGTCCACCTGGCATCTCGCTTAGATCCGAACACTTGACTAGGAGCCAGTGTGTGGTGGTACAAGAGAAGTTACTGGAGCAAGCAAAGAACCTTCTACCGGAGCCGATGGTGCACCAGCTCATTCTCTGGGTTCAGCAGAACCTCAGACACATCCTCAACCAAACAGAAGCAGCTGGGAGTGGCAGTGAGAAGTGCGCTTTTCCTTCCAGCCCAGCGGCGGACGATGGACTGTGGATAACTCTTTTGCATATAGATCACATGAGAGCCAAGACCAAATATGTCAGAACTGTGGAGAGGTGGGCTTCAGAATTAAGACTCACAGGAAGACTGATGTTCATGGGTAAAATCATACTGATGTTACTACAAGGAGACAGGAGCAGCATCAAGGTGCTTACAAAGTTGCATGTTGGATATGTGTTTGATTATCTTGTGATTAAATGGTGTAACTGTGGGTAGGCTTTACGACAGTGGGGCTGATTAATCACGAAGCTGTTTCTGCCCTCGCTATGACCAGGGAATGGGTCTTCATTGTTTTTTTTTTAAGAACATCTTTATTAGTTCCTGCTTGCAACTACAAACTTACAAAGCGTGAAGAATAAGCTTAAGATTGTATTTTTAAAAATGAGGCCACTTTAGGACAGTGATTGATTATTTAAACCCCCCCTGCTAATTACAGAAACAACATACATGTGATAATAAACACACATGTTGTTGCTGTAATGAGCTGTAAGCCTCAAATTTATAAATGTGCACTGAAGGTTTGTGCATGTTAATATTTCTCTCTACCATTAGACACAGCAAGGGGTATATTTGCGGGTAGTCTGCAAAACTTTTAACACTGTGGCAGTTAAAAATACTTTCTGACATTTTAATTTGATATCTATAATACTTGGAAAGAAGAACTTGTCGCTTATAACCAAGATTTAGTGTTAGTAGACGAGGAGTCATTAGGGCTGGCAGCTTGTCACCTCCTACCTAACTTTTGCTTTCCAGCTGACTTGTCCCAGCAGCTGCTTTCAAAAGCATCATCCTCAGGTTGTTCAGGTTCTTGTTCTGAACTTACCTAAGCTGCTTTAAGTGGAACCAGGCAAGTAGAACTGCTTATTATATTTTAAATCTCAAAAGAGCTAAAATCACTTAAGAGAGCTTTGGCTTTCAGATAGGTGGGGTCAGGAATGATCATAATTGACCTCATTTAAAACAGTACAAGCTATAATCATATAAGCCAGATTTGCAGAACAATGGCCTGTGTTTTTCATGGTGGACTCTTACACAACACTAAACTGAGATTTGGTTAATCAGATTAGTGCTGGGCTGTAGCCTGGAGGTACAAGAAGTAATTCACATTTAGATAGATCCTGAGTTAGGGCCTGACAAATGAACCCCATCTTTATTAAAACATTTTTTTAAATATAAACTAGAATATACTCCGTATTTTAATGTTATTTATAGTGTGTCCATAAAATGTGATTCTTTGGGTAAAATACTGATTGACAAAAGTGAATACAAATTAACTTCCTTACTCATCTTCCCCCAAAGGCTCAGATTTTTCTTTTAAACCAACATAGGCATATTAGGCTGTATGCAGCTCTTTTGAAGATGTTGCTACCCAGATTGTATTGATCAATTAATTTGTAAGTATTTATTCATATGACTTGAACCATTTGCAATATAGAAAATGCACTTTTTTGATAATTAAAAAAACTTTCTAAAATTGCACTTCATGTAATTATCTTATGTTTAAGACTATATTTTGAGATTGAGGATATATATATATATAGTTTCCCAGACCTTATAAATCTTAATGGGAGCAGACTGCCTTGCCTTTCTCTCATAAGTAGCTGGGGCCTTTGAACTAGCAACCTTGAGGTTGGTGCCACCAGGGCTCCTTGGTGCCTACTTATAGATATCATTCACTGGAAGTGGTAAGTGCTGCTTGCCTGATAACTTCACTGAGCTGCTCATTAGTAATAAAGCAACAGCAACAGGCACTCACTCGACTAGTAAGTGGGCCCTGACCACTGGTGTGTCAACCACACCTTCAAGTTCTTTCCACGTGTGAGGGGGCTTTAAAAGGTTTGTGGAAAAGCTCAACTATCTTTTAATTCCAGTTTTTCCCACAAACCTTTTGAAACCCTTCTTGCAATAACCGCCCCCCCCCCCCCATGAGGTAGATGCTGTTATGATTCTCATTTCTGGAGGCAGTAACTGAGGCACAGAGTGTTGAAGTAGCCAGGGCCCAGTTAGAGTAGCGAGGTGGTGCAGTCTAGATTCATGAGTCAGAATTGACCTGATGCAACGTCTTTGGTTTTTGGTGAGTCTGTGATTACCTCACTCTTTATTCCTGCGTTCACCAGACCCACCAGGCTGCCAACTACCCTGTTTCCCCGAAAGTAAGACATCCCCTAAAATAAGACCTACTCACAGTTTTGCCTCTCGCTGAAATATAAGGCATCCCCCTGAAAATAAGACCTCCCCGAAAATAAGCCACCCCCAAAGCTACCCTAACTTTGGACTTTGGACAATAGTGGCAGGCGCAGCTCACTGTTGGCCACAGTGCAGCTGGAGCAGACAGCAAGTGCGAGGTCTCTTTTAATAAAACAATAAATGTGTACTGTATTCTTCTTCATGGAAAAATAAGACATCCCCTGAAAATAAGACCTAGTGCATCTTTGGGAGCAAAAATTAATATAAGGCACTGTCTTATTTTTGGGGAAACGGTATATAAAAACCAAGTAATTCTCAGAGCACTTGGTTCAGTAAAGAGAGCTCTCTTTATGCATAGAAATAAAACTGCCATTTTATGGCTCCTTTAAAACTAGGCCTTTAAGATTCAGAGAAAGATGGGCATTTAACTTACTGCCTTATCATTTAGGAGTACCTGCTTCTCCAGAAAACCTCCAAAGTCGATGTGGACTCAAGTGGAAAGAGATGCAAAGAGAAAATGATTAGCGTCCTGTTTGAAACCAAAGCACAGACCAAACATAAGAGGTATAATTTAGCACTATTGCAGACAGAAAGGCACTGAATCGATAATTACACTCTGACAAATCAGGCATATCCATGAGTTTGTCTTGTGTAATGCAGGTTTCTGGCATTTGAAGTCAAGGAGCATTCATCGTTGGCTGAGCTGCAGAAGGAATTTGAAGCTGCAGGGCTTCAGCAGCTATTCTCCGAAGTTGTACTTGGGCTGGTCAAGTGAAACGGAAGACAGGAACCTTCTAGTAAAGCAGCGGTGTTTGGTTATATTTCTTTGGTTTTTTTTTAAAATTGTTGTTGAAAATGAAGTACAGGAGCAGTTTTGAAGTTTCTCTGAAGCAAGATACTTTGCTTATGTCTGGAGTAAATGTCAACTCTGTTTAAGTGGAAAAATAAAAATTATAAAACAAGAAAACAACCTATATTCTGATTTTTTGCAAGGAAATTCTCATCCCAATTTATCTGAGCAATAGATATAAAATAATGATTGTAAATGAACTTTGTTTTGATACAAACTTTGTTTGTTTGGAACCATGTAAATTTCTGGCTGATTTTCTTTTAACTAAATAATTTTTCAATGGAGTCTTGTTTTCATGTTTACTTTAAAAAGCCATTTTTAAGCATTTGATCATGATTTTTTTCTCATTCAGTCTATTATAGCGAATGTTTTAAGTTGTAAAGAAAACCATTCCTTGTGAGATTGCAGAATTTGTTGTGTTATTTCAATACAGTCCCAACAAGTTGTGGAGAACTCGATTGATACTTGTTCCTTTGCGATCCAAGGGTAATGGGGAGCTAGCGAGCTACAAGACGCAAAGGTCAATTTACAATGAATTCTCATTTGAAAAATTTGCCTTCTGGTTTTACAAGGAGAGAAATGTTACACACAAAATGAACTTGGCCTCCTGGATGGGTGAAATTATCCAGTGATCTTTTTTAAAGTATATCTCATAAACTTGGTAAAGGCACAGCGATTATGACTGAAAGAGAAAAGAAGCAGTAAAAGAACAGATTGTGCCCGAGTTGAGAACAAAAGTGAAAGCAGGCACTTGTGTCTGAGAAATGCTACTTGTGTGCACGAGGTCACTTGGATTTCTTAAATAAGGGCCAAGTGATGGGAGAAGGACCAGGGGAATTCCTCTTCCTGCACTCTACAAAGTTCACAGGTGTCCATGTTCAATGACAGCTGAAGGGAGAGCTAAGTGAGGAAATCGTGGTTGCATGTTGAATAGAGCTTCTTGACAGGGCTGCTCTGTGACCACAGCAGTTCAACTTGATTATCTCATTTTCAGGGACCATTATAAATTAATCATACCTGCCTAGAGTTGCTGCACGAGGAGCCCTGGTGGTGTAGTGGTTTATGCCATAAACTGCTCGTCTTAAAATCCGTCGTTTGAACCCACCAACACTGTGAGGAAGAAGGCTGGCTGTCTCTGTAAAAATGTAAAGTGTCAGCCATCTAGCTCAGAAGCAACAAAGCCCACATGGAAGAAGCACACCACTCTGTGTGATCATGAGGTATAGAAGGGATGAGGTATCAGGCATCAAAGAACAAAAAATCCTATCATTGTGAATGAGGGGGAGTGCGGGGTGGGGACCCAAAGCCCATCTGTAGGCAATTGGACATCCCCTTATGGTAGGGTGAAGGGGAGGAGACGAGCCACTCAGGGTGCAGTATAGCAACGATGAAACACAACTTTCCTCTAGTTCCTAAATGCTCACATCCCCGCCCCCCCACCACTATCACGATCCCAATTCTACCTCACAAATCTGGCTAGATCAGAGGATGTACACTGGTACAGATAGGAACTGGAAACACAGGAAATCCAGGGTGGATGATCCCTTCAGGACCAGTGGTCTGAGTGGCGATACTGGGAAGGTGGAGGGAGGGTGGGTTGGAAAGGGGGAACTGATTACAAGGATCTACATGTGACCACCTTCCTAGGGGATGGATAACAGAAAAGTAGGTGAAGGAAGACGCCGGACAGGGCAAGATATGACAAAATAATAATTTATAAATTATTAAGGGTTTATGAGGAAGTGGGGAGCAGGGAGGGAGGGGGAAAATGAGCTGATGCCAGGGGCTTAAGTGGAGAGCAACTGTTTTGAGAATGACGAGGTTAATGAATGTACAAGTGTGCTTTACACAATTGATGTATGTATGGATTGTGATGAGTTGTATGAGCCCCTAATAAAATTTTTTAAAAATGTAAAGTATCAGAAAGCCAAAGGGGCAGTTCTACTCTGTACTCTCAGGTACGATGGGTCATAATCAGCTTGATGGCAGCGGATTTTTAGACACTTGCAGGACAGTGGGTTAAGTTCTGGGGTGCTAACCCAAAGATTGGTGGTTTGCACCCATCAGACTCTGAGGGAGAAAGATGTGGCTCTGTGCTCCCATGAAGATGTACGGCCTCAGAAAGTCCAAGGAGCAGCTGTGCTCTGTCCTGCAGACCCAGTGTGTACTGGACTCTGCTCAGTGGCAGTGGAGGAGTGGAGTTGCCTCGGAAGACAGGTCTGCCAGTCGGCTTCTGCAACGTCTCAGCCTGGAAAACACGATGGAGCGCAGCTCTGCGCTCACGCACAGGGGCCCTCATCAGTGGGAATGGGTTCAATGTCAGGTAACAACAACATTAATAATAATTTGGGGCTCTGCCAATGAGAGGGGAATGGGAAGGTTCTTCAAATTTATTTTATCTCAATCTTGGCTATGAATTTTCCTGGAGAACTGGTCATTGCATTTAGATTATTCTGTAGAAAGGAGACATATGAAAAGAGAAGCTACCCAACTGACATGCAAAACAGAAGATAGGCTTAAAAATGATGAGCCGGTCACCATTCTATTTTCAATGACTTAGTGTAGTTTTAGTGAAAATTAAACTGCAAAAACAAAACAACAGTCACAAACAAACCTGCTTTTAATAAGAGAGGTTGAAAATATTGATCATGCGGTTGAAACTGGTTGGGAGCCCTCAAAAATATCCTTTAAAATGATCACTATTACGCTTTATTAGAAAAACATAGTTCATAAGAGAATGACTTACATCCTAGTTTGGTGAGTAACAACTGGGGTCTTCAAAGCTCATGAGTGATTATCTAAGGTACAACTATTGGTCTTTCCCTGTCCAGAGGAAAGAAGGGTGATGAAAATCAGAGATACATGGAAGCAGTCCAGCGGACTAATGGACCACTCCAACATTATGAGCCTGAGACCAGAAGAATGAGATGATGCCCAGGAACTCTGAAAGGGATCACATTACAAGGTTCTGGATGGAGTAGAGGAAAACTATGGAACATAACCCCAGATCATAGAAGAGATATGAGGTATGTTTTTCTAATAAAGCTTAATAGTGATCATTTTAAAGGATATTTTTGAGGGCTCCCAACCAGTTTCAATCGCATGATCAATATTTTCAACCTCTCTTATTAAAAGCAGGTTTGTTTGTGACTGTTGTTTTGTTTTTGCAGTTTAATTTTCACTAAAACTACACTAAGTCATTGAAAATAGAATGGTGACCAGCTCATGAAGGGTTGGTTAGAGACTGGAGGAACCTCTAACACTTTCGCGTTAGTCACTGTTTAGGTCTGGGACTGGATATACATACCCCTGTAGCTCAATTTCCAGACAGGTCCATAAACAAGGGAACAATAACACTAGCGAGGTATACACAAATTGGGATAACCAACCACTGAAGATTATAAAAAAGTAGCACCAGAATAATTAGGAAAGAAGGCAGAATGGAAACAGGAAACAGTGGGGAAGTAGAGTAAGTGGTGGTACATTAAGGGGATTGAGATGAGATGAATGAGGCAATGAATGAGATGAAACAAAAGGCATGTGAATTGAGTGTTAAACTAATGATCTTTTTTGTAAGCATTCACCAAATTCACCATAGAGTTCAACATTAGAGAGGGCAGCAAAAATTTTTAAAGATTCTTTTATTTGGGGGTCTTAAATCTCATCACAATCCATACATTCATCCAGTGTGTCAAGCACATTTGTACATATGCTGCCAACATCATTTTCAAAGCATTCTCTTCCCACTTGAGCCCCTGATATCAGCTCCCCATTTCTTCTCCTCTCTCCCCTGCCCACCTTCCCTCATGAACTGTTGATAATTTATAGATTATTATTTTCATATCTTACATCATCCTCCATTGCCCTTCACCCACTTTTCTGTTATTTGTTCCCCTGGGAGGGGGTTATAGTTTGATCCTTTTGATCTATTTCCCCTTTCTCCCCCCACCCTCCCCTAACCCTGGTATCTCTACTCTCATTGTTGGCCCTGAGGGAATAATCTATCCTGGATTCCCTGTGTTTCAGGCTCTTATCTAGCAGTGTGCATGTTCTGGTCTAATCCAATTTGTAAGGTAGAATTGAGGTCATGATGGTGGGGTGAAGGAAGCACCAAAGAACTAGAGGAAAGTTGTGTGTTTCATCGGTGCTATAGTGCACCCTGACTGGCTCATCTCTTCTCTGTACCCTTCCGTGAGGGGATGTCCAATTGTCTACAGATGGGCTTTGGGTCTCCACTCCATTCCCCCCCCACCCCTTTTCACATTGGGTATGATTTTGTTCTGGGTCTTAGATGCCTGACACCTGATTCCATTGAAATCTCATGATCACACAGACAGGCTTGCTTCTTCCATGTGGGTTCGTTGCTTCTGAACTATGTGGCCACTTGTTTATCTTCAAGCTTTTAAGACCCCAGATGCTATATCTTTTGAAAGCGGGGCACCATCAGCTTTCTTCACCACATTTGCTTATGCATCCTTTTTGTCTTAAACAATTGTGTTGGTAAGCTGAGCATCACAGAATGCCAGATTGTTAGAAGAAAGTGTTTTTGTGTTGAGGGCGTACTTGAGTTCAGGTCCAATGTCCATCTGCAACCTTAATTCTTAACATATAGATATGAGTACATAGTTCTATTCCCCTCTCGTTTTATATATATATTTACCTATGTAAATGCCTGTTTTTAGGCCTCTAGGTTTTCAACTCTATTTCCTTTCACTTTCCTCTTGTCCCACCATCATGTTCTGCCTTCATTTGGGTTTAGTAATTCCTTGCTGTTATATTGCCCTTGATTAAGCCCCACTAGGCATCCTATGCCTTTCTTTCCATTGATTTTAGTTCACTTCTTGTTCTCTTGTCCCTGGGTTGGTTCCCCACATCTCCCTTCCTTTCTCTCCCCACCTCCCATATCCTCCCAGAACCATTGGTCCCATTCTTTTCATCTCCAAATTATTTATCCCGCCTATCTTATCTAGATAGACATGTAGATACATTAATAAGTGAAAAACCTAGGCACAGCCAAATAAAACAACAAAACAATAACAACAACAAAAACAAAATAACAATAACAAAAAGAAAGCCACTGACAAAAATGGAAAAGCCTATAAGTAGTTCAAG